CTGAGAATTTGTGCGCGAGCTGCATGAAGGAGGAATGCCATGACTTTTTCCAGGATCAGTACCAGATGTGTGTGATGGACAACAACGCGACTGGCTGCGGTGAGATGACGGGCAGCGTGCCACAGGCCGCTAGTTTGTCGGACGTGGGCAATTTCCGCGAGAAAGCAGTTAACGCGTACTGGAAACAGTACCAGAAGAAGTATGACTCGCGCTCGAACTTGTTCGAGGACCTGTCTGACGTGCACCTTAACTCGCTTCCGAACGACGTGAAGCCATCGGCTGAGATTGCATACAACCAGTTTGTGTATGCGTACACGTTGGGCATGGGCGGTGCCGCTTACAAGGGCGACTACGACGTGTTCAACGCTGCTCAGCTGGGCCGTGGTGTGCGTTTCATTGGTAATGGCGAGGTGCCTCTGACGAACCAGGTGAGCTTCTGTGACTACGTATGGGGTTTTAGCAACTGGAATTCGACGTGGACACGCAACAACGAGATGATCGGCCCTGGCATTCAGCGCAAGGAAGGCGTGCTTCGCTCGCTGGTGTACTTGCAGGTGTCCATCTCTGGCCAAGCTCTGATTTTTGTAACACGTACGGCCGGCAGCAACAACTGGTTCTTCGCTGAGAAGCCGTGCAACTTGCTGCTGATCGCTTTCGTGTTCGCTCAGATCGTTGCTTCAGTGGTGGGCTGGATCGGTTTCGGCGGCTACCCGACGGACCGTATTGCCGTGATCGGTTGTGGCGGCACCTACACGCTGATTGCGTGGCTGTGGGCCATTGTGTGGCAGTTCCCGCTTGACGTGATCAAGTTTGCGGTGAACTATATGCTGACGAAGAACGCGTACTCGAGCAAGGCATTCACGGAGCGCATCAACGCTGGTCACCCGACGATGACGCACTCTGTGGTAACGAACGCGCAGCGTTCAATCCGTGCCAGCCGCACTGTTTAAGCAGACTTAGGTTATTGGTCGCGTGCGGAAGCAGCGGCTCTTGGAGAAAGAGGAGTTTGTGTGAGATTCTTTGCACTCTTGGGACATTATCGCTGATGGACTACACGTCCTTGTCCGTCGCATATACACACTGTTGTGTGTATATGTCTGCATGACTCATGCTTTATCGTATTACCTAGTTAGTAAGAAGTGATACAGTTAAAGTTTTTATCTAATGAACCAAGTCGTTCGTACTACTTTGTCTTGAGTTGTTCTATTTGAGTTAGAGGTCTCTAGTAAGAAACTCAGATCCCTAATACAATAGACTGGAGCAGAGAAACATGACAACAGATCGAAAACTCATAGCGCTAGCGGATGGATAATATGCTTTGAATCAAGCCTTCTCAGCATGACAGCAAACTCATCCAAGGTCGAAGTGATCTCAAACCTTATCACGCTACTGCAACATGATCATTGTGTGGTGGAAAACTTCTAGCAACGGGTTTAAGTCTCTAAATCATATGCTAAAGGGACGCCCCTCTCCTCCTCATCTATGATCACGTCTGCGTTTCAAGTATAACCAGCCTCTACTTAAAGGTCATCAATCCAATTTGGGATCATAAAGGCGTAAAGTTCATCTTCGACCATCATCTTCTTTCAGCGCAGACCGAGAGCCATGACAGCTACGTACCAGCTGGCTGGATTAGAAGATTTCGCGTCACGTTGCCAGCTCATTTCTTTACATTTTGAGCTGCTCAACTTCATCTCGTCCGACAAGCGTTATTCGAGGCTTGATAGAGCCCATTAAGTGTGAAAGATGCCTGCGCGCTCCATTGCTCTTTCTCGTTGCGGCGTCTAGAAGGGGGTGGTGAGGAACACAAGTTTTTAACAGTAAGGATCTTTACGGGGATACTAGTTTCACGGCATGGGGATTCGGTGCAGTACTTAGGCTACGCAAATGGAATAGGGGGAGCTTACAACTGCGAATGCACTGTGCGTATTCGCAATGTACAACGGCGACTGACTCAGCTCACAACCAGCGTCGACAACAGAGTAGTCATGCTGCCAGCCTTGTTGTTAGCTGCATCAGTATTCGAGATGCCACGATGGGCAAAGCAACGGCTAAGAAACCTTCAAAAGCAATTCATGTGGCATCACTCTATCAGCACGGAGCCCAGTCGCTGTAAGATCAATTTAGCGCTTTTGTACACGCTCAACACGCGGGAGAAGTCGGCCTCCAAACTGTCTGCATGCAAGACGCAGCGGGTGAAACACGCCATACTCCGGCTCACCCAATGTAGAGTTATCTATTTTCTGGCCTGGCAGGCATGGGCTTTCCGCGTAGCAACGTTGGATTGGACAGCAGAATGTTTCCGCGCCAAGAAAGAGGACAGCAGCTCTCCAAAAATTGCAGGAATCCCTGGAAACGCGCTCCAGCAGTTAATCGGACCATTGTCGTTACCAACACTACCGAACAACAGAGGGTAGGCAGCAGCAGTACACAACGGAGCTCGAAAGCCTGCCATCGATGGCGCTTAGCTGGACGACCACGGAGGAAGGGGGGTGGAGCTCTCTCGACGATGTTGTCACACACTGGCAATGACACCAGAGGAAGCATTCTGGCCCGCGTATTTTGGGCCGAACACCCATGGATTGTGGACCAGCAGGGGAACGTTTTAATGCGACGGAATTATGACAAAATTTCGTCCCTGCACTATAGCGAAATTGCAACTGCATCGAATTGGAGATCGAACGTACTCCTTCGTCATTCTGACGTAGGCGGAACCACGCATCAACAAGCCAAGCTGCGACGATGGGGCCTAATGATCTTGCTGAGTCTGTTGGTCTACCGCAGATTGTAGTGCGTCGCATACAAACCGTGTGATGGCTTGACGTTGGAGAGCGCACCGAGCGTAAGAGGGCCTCAAGTACGAAAGGACCTACTCCTGCGCCACCCCCTCCCCGCCACTACCACAGGCCTACACACGGGAATTCTCCACGACGGCTGCGTCAGCGGCATCATGCTGGGCTCAGACTCAGGTCAGCTGGAGCAAGACAGCGATGGAAATTCATTGGAAATTTGCCGGATTGGAGGAGGGTTGCCGACTGTCAGAGACTCCGGAAAAGCCAGGATGCAGGGGGGCATCGTATTCTATGCAAGTTTGCTCATCTACGGGTTTCCATGGAGTGTGCCCGACATTATCGCGAACAAACACGTACTATTGGCCCTGAAGAAACAACCGTTTCGTCGGTAAAAAGGTTCGAAAGGTACGCTGACACGTACTTTGGAGACGCTCCAGAACTCAGCGCGGGAAAGTACGTAGCATTACAACAGACGTCAACCAATCTCTAGGATCATAGGAACGATACCAAGTTGGGTCGTCAAGTGGCAGTGAGGCTCTTCCATCCAGACCGAGGGCAAGATAACAGTTGTCGCAAGCTCCACTGCTGCCAGGGAGTAAAAGAAACACTGGAGTACATCTGGCGGACATGCCCGTGCGCGCAAGCCTGCTGGCAGAAGCTCATCGGCCCCTGGACAGGAGAACGATGGGAGTTTGGACGGCTCTGCAGTGCTTTCTAGCAAACAGTACAAGCAGACGCGTGCCAGGACTATCCAAGGTGGTCCAGAAACAGCTTACCCTACACCATCCAGACAAGCATACGCTACTTACGATATGGCACATCCTGAGCAGTGTTTGCATCACCAGCTTGTGGATACAACGCAACAAAGTGACGTTTCAGCAAGCGGACGTGACCATCGTCGACAGCGTGCAGGATTTTTAGAAAAACCGGCATGCGGCAACTTCGCGCGGTCGCGAAGCGAGAGTTCCGACGAACACACACGGAATTTCAAGGAATTCGTCTGATGCTATGTCAACGTGTCATTGTCAGACAACCCCGAGAACCGTCACCGCAGGTGACAAACAAACCCATATAACCACCGGACTCGAACGAGGAACCGACGTTGCTAACAAAGCTTAGGATCTACTAGACATCTTCCTACCACTAATAGGTTAAATCGACTCGTCTACCATCAGCGACAGCATTAGACTCGTTCCAATTGGACCACTATTCCGGCTTTATCAAGTGCCAGGCATACAACCGTATAATAAAAATAGCGAGCCAGCCTTTATACTATGTCATTTATCAGAAAAAGCTTATTAATAGCACAAAATCATGTGCTGGGCACCGCAATCTCGCAATGTGCTGTTCAAAGGACGCGACTATGTCATCGACGTTTCACTTAAGCGATTTATCCCGATCAGTACTTAAAGGTCTTGTCTCATGGTTGTACCAAAGTCTAATCGTCATCATTTGTCATGCGCTTCGCTTTGTTAATAATGCCCATCCTGTTGCAACAAATCGAAGACGAAGATGAGGACATGCAACACAGGCTTGTTCTGGCTTGTTCTGTGAATCACCTCATCCGTTGAGTTACCCGTTACCTTGTTCCTGATTGCCTGTCCTCATTAACGCGAAACTTACAACCGCTGAAACACCAGCTGGCTAAAGCTACACATTTCTTACAAGCACATGTCGTAATATAATAATCGTATGTCGTGTAAGAACGGGGTTGTGCACCCATGTCTCGGCTCAGCGGCAGATCAGTTTTATGTATCACGTGCTACTTAACGATCAAGAGCCGGCCTACTGTCGACACTATCAATAGGTAAAAGCGAGTACATTAAAGACTGGTCTCGCTCTATTGAATAGGCATACGGTATGTACCTCTCCTTAAAATTTCACCCCGACCTCCCATCAAAAATGAAAACGACGTCGCATATGGTGTCCAGCACATAATAATCGCAGCATCCGTTACTTAAGCAATGTGATTGGTTTTAAAGTGTGATATATTGTCCAATCCGTGGGTCGATCAGCTCCACAAGCACCGTTGACGGACGGACGGACGATTCAGTAATCTCCGAAACCGTTTCTCATTCTTCAATTTTCCTCTTGGCGGTCACCCGTTTTTCCATCTCAAGACACGAGACAATCAAAAGCTTTTGACCTCATTTTGATCGTCTGATCTGTCTTTTGTATTCCAAGACTTTCTAACCAGCCCCCATCAAAATGGCTGGTGGTGCAGAAGGCAATCCGTCGTACATGTCATTGGTAACACCTAATGATGTCAAGAATTATACAAACGATGTCGGTCAAATTCAATGGGCCCAAGTGCCACTTAATGCAGCACTTGACAAGCTTAAATCATGTCGCGAAGGTCTCACATCTCATGAAGCTGAGAAACGTTTAGCTGAATATGGTCCCAACAAATTACCAGAAGAAAAAGTAAACAAGTTGAAGCTTTTTATGGGATTTATGTGGAATCCTTTGTCCTGGGCCATGGAAGTAGCTGCTATTTTATCAATTGTATTGCTGGATTATGCTGATTTTGCATTGATTCTCTTCCTATTGCTGCTAAATGCATGCATTGGATACTTGGAAGAAGTACAAGCTGGTGATGCTGTATCGGCTTTGATGGGTCAATTGGCACCGGAGGCAAAAGTGTTTCGTGATGGAGAGATTAAAAACATTCCAGCGGACTTGCTAGTCCCTGGTGATGTGCTACGTGTACGTCTAGGCGACGTGATTCCAGCCGATCTCAAGTTCCTCGAAGGTGATGCTGTTAAAGTGGATCAATCGTCACTGACTGGTGAGTCACTACCCGTGACAAAGAAGGAGGGAGACGAGGGATACTCTGGTTCTGTGGTGAAACAGGGTGAGATTGAGGCTGTCGTGACTAGCACGGGTGTGAACACATTCCTTGGTCGTGCTGCTGAGAAGATTGCGTCCGCAGACTCTCACGGTCGTCTGCAGATGGTGCTGACAACTGTAGGCAACTTTTGTATGGTGTCGATCGCATTCTGGTGCGTGGTGGAGCTGCTGGTGCAAATGGCCGGTCGTTCCTCGCAGAACCCATGTGTGATCGTAACGGACGGTTGTCTGGGTGTCGCTAACATCCTGGTGTTGATTGTGGGCGGTATCCCCGTGGCAATGCCGACTGTACTGTCGGTGACACTTGCCATCGGTTCGTCGGCTTTGGCCAAGGAGAACGCCATTGTGACGCGTCTGACGTGTATCGAAGAGATGGCTTCGATGGAGGTGTTGTGCTCGGACAAGACGGGTACACTGACGCTGAACCAGCTTTCTGTGGACATGGACAACTTGATCCCGTACAATAACTTTACGGGGGACGACATCCTCAAGTACGGCGCTCTGTCTGCTCGTACGGAGAACAATGAAGCTATCGACGTAGTGTGCCACAACACATACCCGGGCCATGCTACGATGTGGAACGAGTACACACTGCTGCACTACACGCCGTTTGACCCCACAACGAAGCGTACGATTGCTAAGCTGAAGGACAATCGAACTGGCGAGATCTTCCGTGCCGTGAAGGGTGCCCCGCAGGTGGTGTTGGACATGGACGTGAACGCGGATGTTCTTCGCATGGAGGTTGAAGAGCGCATCGACGAGTTTGCTTCGCGCGGCTATCGTGGTCTGGGTGTGGGTATCTCTCGCTGCGGTGATGTTCCGGTGGAGGAATGTGAGTGGCAGATGATTGGTCTGTTGCCGCTGTTCGACCCCCCTCGCCACGACACGGCGGACACTGTGAAGAAGGCCATTGCTCTGGGCATTGCGGTGAAGATGGTCACGGGTGACCAGAAAGCCATTGCTGTGGAGACGTGCCGTCAGTTGGGAATGCCTACGAACATTTTGGACACTTCTTTCTTTAACACTGCTCCTCCTCCTGGACTGAACCTGGCGCAGATGATCTATGACACGGACGGTTTCGCTCAGGTGTTCCCTGAGCACAAGTTTGAGATCGTGAAGCACCTGCAGTCGCTGGACAAGGTTGTGGGCATGACGGGTGACGGTGTAAATGACGCTCCGGCTCTGGCACAGGCCGACATTGGTATTGCTGTGGATGATGCGACGGACGCGGCGCGTGCTGCTGCTGACATTGTGCTAGTTTCGCCCGGTCTGAGTGTGATCATCACGGCCATTCGCATGAGTCGTGAGATTTTCCTGCGCATGAAGAACTACGCCATGTACTCTATCGCCATGACGGTGCGTATTGTGTTTACGTTCGGCATCCTGACGGTAGCGTGGAACTGGTACTTCCCTCCTATTCTTGTGGTGATTCTGGCCATCCTGAACGACGGCACGATTCTGACGATCTCGAAGGACAATGTGGTTGCGTCACCGTACCCGGACTCGTGGAAGCTGAAGGAGATCTTCATTTCGTCGATCACGTTCGGTCTGTGGCTGACGCTGTCGACGGTCGTGCTGTTTGGTGTTGTGAACAACTCGAGTGGTTTTGAGAGAACTGGTGCTGAGAATTTGTGCGCGAGCTGCATGAAGGAGGAATGCCATGACTTTTTCCAGGATCAGTACCAGATGTGTGTGATGGACAACAACGCGACTGGCTGCGGTGAGATGACGGGCAGCGTGCCACAGGCCGCTAGTTTGTCGGACGTGGGCAATTTCCGCGAGAAAGCAGTTAACGCGTACTGGAAACAGTACCAGAAGAAGTATGACTCGCGCTCGAACTTGTTCGAGGACCTGTCTGACGTGCACCTTAACTCGCTTCCGAACGACGTGAAGCCATCGGCTGAGATTGCATACAACCAGTTTGTGTATGCGTACACGTTGGGCATGGGCGGTGCCGCTTACAAGGGCGACTACGACGTGTTCAACGCTGCTCAGCTGGGCCGTGGTGTGCGTTTCATTGGTAATGGCGAGGTGCCTCTGACGAACCAGGTGAGCTTCTGTGACTACGTATGGGGTTTTAGCAACTGGAATTCGACGTGGACACGCAACAACGAGATGATCGGCCCTGGCATTCAGCGCAAGGAAGGCGTGCTTCGCTCGCTGGTGTACTTGCAGGTGTCCATCTCTGGCCAAGCTCTGATTTTTGTAACACGTACGGCCGGCAGCAACAACTGGTTCTTCGCTGAGAAGCCGTGCAACTTGCTGCTGATCGCTTTCGTGTTCGCTCAGATCGTTGCTTCAGTGGTGGGCTGGATCGGTTTCGGCGGCTACCCGACGGACCGTATTGCCGTGATCGGTTGTGGCGGCACCTACACGCTGATTGCGTGGCTGTGGGCCATTGTGTGGCAGTTCCCGCTTGACGTGATCAAGTTTGCGGTGAACTATATGCTGACGAAGAACGCGTACTCGAGCAAGGCATTCACGGAGCGCATCAACGCTGGTCACCCGACGATGACGCACTCTGTGGTAACGAACGCGCAGCGTTCAATCCGTGCCAGCCGCACTGTTTAAGCAGACTTAGGTTATTGGTCGCGTGCGGAAGCAGCGGCTCTTGGAGAAAGAGGAGTTTGTGTGAGATTCTTTGCACTCTTGGACATTATCGCTGATGGACTACACGCCCTTGTCCGTCGTGCGTGGACAAACTTTAGTGCATGCTGTAGAATATAGAATAAGCGAACGGAATGCAACCCATTATACCCATTAAATCGATGCTCCTTGGAAGTTTACTAATTGAAATGGGCTAAGTTGGACCTTATCAAGCGGTGTTATATTTCGAGTCACTACGTGCACTTGCTTCGATTAAGAAACGTGCTGTGCTTTAGTTCTGCTAAAGCCAGCTCGATCTCCATCTTTGTAATTGTTTCAGACTACGAATCATCGACCGTTCTCTTAAGCTGGAAACGATGCGTTTTTACACCATCTAGAGAAGCGACGACAACCGAGGGAGTTGTACGCTTGGTATATTTTGGTGCTCTGACGAGTTCAGCAAGTCGTTAGATTAAATGGAGCCAAAGGTTCATGCCACCGGTTGTGGGTTTAATGAGTGACAAGTGCACTCACTGCTGATTCTGACCCCTTCGACGAAACCAAGTGCATGAATGCATTCCCCAAAACAAGAAGTAGCGCCTGCTGACAATGTTAAGAAAGTTGCGCAGGTGCATCGAGAAAAGCCTCAGCACGGTCTAATTAGTAATTAATGACTATGACAATAGCGAAGAATTAATGCGCGATAGCTTTGGAGAAGTCCCTGAACTCGACAAACCACTCCGACCAGTTGTTTGAATATATAGTCGGCACTTCCAAAAGGCGACGGAATACAAACTTTGCGCTATCCATGTTGTCGACGACATCAATTTTATTATTCGACAGTTGCGCCACCGGGCTCCGCCCAAAGCGCAACATCTCAAAGACATTTACCGCCAATGCTACGCATTAGCGGATTGGCTTCAAGTTGCCACTTGAATGCATCACTTGCAGCATTTTAACATAATGGCTAATGGACAAATTGAGCGATGGAGACGAGGGAAAGCGTCCAAAATCATCAAGACGCGGTACCCCGTTTACCTCCAAAATGGAAGGTAACTATGTACCAGGGCATCTAGTTACACGTAAACATTAGGTAATATACTTAATGTAAGGTCTAAATGTATCCATGATTACTTTTGACGTGTCACTTGGGTGTGATACACAAATGGGATCCACCCTCGTGAATGTGATATACATTGATGGATTCACATGGAAAGGGATGACGCTAACGTCCCAAAAGGACGTCAATAGCAAGCCTTTACTACATTTAAGCTTTCACGTCAGGATACGCTTCTAAAAACTCGCGTATCCGATCTATATATAATTACCCAATCAGTAGTTAAGTATATTTAATTATAATTCATTAAATATAGCTCAGTCTTGAATTTGCTAAATCAAAAACACCGCGCACGAGAAGCTCTAAAAGCTCCTGCGTGACGCCGGTGACTTCTTGTTTTAGAAGTTCGTTGCACTCTCGCTTAAGCGAGAGGCAACTGGTGGTACGACTGCGTAAGCAGTCGACTAACCACACAACCACCCTCGCACGCGAAGGTAAGACGGTCTAACTGCTTCCTCGCTTGTGCTGAAGGTGTGCGCTAAGTAGTACAAGGAAACTTTGTAAAAGTGCCCGTCTAAAGAAAGCGTCCAAATTCATCAAGACTTGGTACTCCGTTTACCTCTAAAATACGAAGTAATTACGTCCTATATGACTGAAAATTTAGGACATTGGCAAGAAATTGACAAGACAACGCAAGCACGGAGGTTAGAATCCTGGGACTGAAGATCAGAACAACCTAATAGGCACCCTCTTAAGGAGTGCATTTGTCGGCATCTGACACAATTAGTACACAGCAGCAACCGATGTGTAGTCCCGTGCTGAACCGGACATTCTTGGGTCGTTAATAACAATGTAGCTAAATGACTGTAATTTACCTGGCAAATTGTGGTTAAGCAGAGGCTCCCACACGGGTTTACGGCGGCCAAACAGGACATCCCGCATCAAGTGTCGACGGTCGAGTTTGTCCTACTCTCGATTAGCGTTTCCGGTATTATTAATGAGGACATCCAATGCCTAGAGGGGGTGATGGTTTATCACCTGACTACAATTCGCCAACTTCGAGTAGTGACTCGAAGCACAATGGGGCCATCAGCATCGAGAATTTAGAGTTGGAATGTGTCCACGCTATCGTGTACGTGGAAGGGAGCCCACAAAGGCGCCAATATATCGAGGTCGCGAATCCACCCTCGCGACGCGTCTTCCATTACAAGCCTTCCAGGGCTCTCTTGGAAGCATTTCCTACGTGACCTTAAGGGAGGCACTGTGGAACAAGTGTGTCTAATCATCAACGAGGTGGTTACCGTGGCAAACGAGGAGCATATGGCGCGTCCTCGAAGCGCTGAGCCGAAATCAGCGCGTGAAGAAAGGTTTGCATCACAGTCATGGGAGGCCCTGCGAGAGTCTGGTAACCCCGTCTACGACATTGCTCGTGAGTATGCAGACGTGTTCCCGGACAAGATCCCGGCTGAACTTCCTGCGGACCATGGTGTTCGGCACGAGATGATCTCGTGCCAGGGTCGAAGTATTGTGTGACACGGCAGTGGCCGTTGACTCGAGATCAAGTCGAAGCTATTGACGCATTCTTCGAAGGCCGCCGCAAAGCGGGTCATGTGCGTGAAAGTATCTCAACAAATTCGAGTCCAACCTTCTGCGTGAAGAAGGCTACGATAGGCTGGCGTATAGTGCATGTGTTCAATAAGTTGAATGATGCCACCATTCCTGCGCAAACGCCAATTCCCAGGAAGGACATGGTGCTGAATTCCATGTCAGGAAGTGTCATCTTCAGTGCCATCGACTTGACCGATGGCTTTTACCAGATTCTGATGCGACCGAGTGATATCCCACTCACCGCGGTGAGCACCCCGAGTGGCATGTTATGGGAGTGGCTGGTTATGCCACAATGATTGATGAACGCTCCGGCCACTTTCAATCGCATGGTGTCTCAAGTGTTGAGACCCCTTCGTAACTTTGCTCCAAGTTATTTTGACGACACTTTCGTCCACAGTCGCGCCGAGGGCAACCTCAACGATGTCCAAGTTCACCTTCAACACCTGAAGCAAGTGTTTCAAGTTATGCGAGACAACAAGTTGTACGCGAATCTCAAGAAGCGTGTCTTTTGTGCACCGGAGATTCCGGTGTTAGGTTGCTATGTGAGTAAATCGGGAGTTCGAGCTGATCCATAGAAGGTGTCGTCCATCTGTTCTTGGCCCACGCCCAAGAACCCTACGGAGCTGCGCCAGTGGCTCGGCTTGGCTAATTATTTGCACAAGTATACGAAGGATTATGCTGGTTCTATCCAGCCTTTGTCGTCACTCTTGAAGAAAGACGCCACGTGGTTGTGGCGTCCCGAGCACCAAGCAGCCTTCGAAGCAGTAAAGAAGAGCCTGGCGTCAGCGCCAGTCCTGGTCCTACCAGACAACTCCAAGCCGTTCCACGTGGTTTGCGACGCCAGTGATTTTGCAATCGGTTGTGCCCTCATGCAATTTGATGATGAGGGCCGTGAACGAGTCGTGAGTTATCAGTCGCGACAGATGAAGCCAGCTGAGAAGAACTATCCGGTTCACGACAAGGAGTTATTAGCGATGCGCTGTGCACTCATCAAGTTTCGCGTGCATCTGCTTGGTGAACGTACATTTGCTTTGTACACCGATCATGCATCGCTGCGCACAGCGATGAAGAGCCCACACCTGTCCCAACGGATGGCACGATGGCTCTCATTCTTCTCTGAGTACAACTTCGTCGTGCATTACAAGCCAGGCAAGACCAATATTCTCGCTGACGCCTTTTCACGACGTCCCGACTACGATCCTCGGACTGCTCTGAGTCGCCAGGTTACTGATGACGAGGACGATGATGACCGATGTGCAATGTGTGTATCGCTGAACTTAACTCGGGTTACACCCGAGCCGTGTTTATTTGATGAGATCGTCGCAGCGTACAAGGGTGACTCAGATTATGCAGACATTATCGAGTATCTGCGTGCTCCTAGCGATGCTGCACTGGGAGCATTATCCCGTACCAAGCGCGACCATATTCATCGATACAGTTTAGATGGCGATTTGCTTCTGTATAGCATCGACCAATTCGATGCTCCTCGCACGGTGATCGCCAACGACATGGATTTGCGTGCAAGAATCATTCACGAGTATCACGATGCTCCTGCTGGCGGTCATTTAGGCCGCGAAAAGACTTCCGCGGCTGTGTCTCGAGACTTCTTCTGGCCCCACATGTATAAGTGGGTACGCAACTGGATCCGAGCGTGCGAAATATGCCAGCGTGTGAAGCCATCTCCATCTTCACAGGCTCCCTTGCGATCGTTGCCAATTGCAGCAGAGGCCTGGAGATCAGTTTCAATGGACTTCATCTTCGGGCTTGCGCCCGATAGCCAAGTTCGAACGGGCATCTTGGTCTTTGTTGACAGATTCAGCAAGATGACACATCTCGTGCCTGTTCACGCCAAGGTCACCGCGGCAGAGACCGCGGCGCACTTCATCGACGCGGTGTTCCGTCATCATGGCCTTCCAGAAAACATTGTTTCGAACCGTGATCCGCGATTTACGTCCGCATTTTGGACGTCACTTTTCGACCTCCTCGGGACAAAACTGCTGATGTCGACTGCGGCCCATCCGGAAACGGATGGGCAGACCGAGCGCGTGAACCGAGTCCTCGAAAATGTTCTTCGGAGTTATGCTACGTCATTTACAAGTTGGAGTGCATTTTTACCACTCGCTGAGTTCGCACTCAACAACGCCGTACACGCGTCAACAGGGTTGACGCCATTTTTTGTGAATTCGGCTCGTCACCCTCGTGTTCCTACTGTCCTGGCCGTGGGGCGACCCACAACACCTAGTGGCTCCACTCTGGGGGGGATAAAGGTGATAAACAAGGATCGAGTGCAGCTCACGGTATTTTGAGCGCGAATGCAGTA